TCTATCATTTCTGTAAGGTGGAGTCCAATTATCCACGTAGGTTGGGATAAGTGATGTGGTGATAGAGGATGATCCCGTGGACTTATGATCTATTGTGACCTACTAGTTATACATGAGTTGAGTGATCAGTCTAGTGAGCACGGTGGGCAATGAAAGGAAATGTGTGTTCTTGAGGTGTGAGCAACACAGAATGAGATATGATAAGTGTGGTAAGATATTTTGTGGGGTCACTTATGCATTTGTTGCATGTGTGTTTGACAGTGTGCTGATTAATTTGGTATTAATCTTTGGTTCTGTGTGAGCGTGAATTTCTTAAGAGATTTGTGTAGTATCCTATATAATATCTTCATCGCATGATTATTTGTTCACTGTGATACTTGTTTCTACTTGGGTGTTTTTGGACATTAGCCCTGGTGAGTACATAGAGCAGGTATGACATGTGTTTCAGTTCGAAACACGAGGTAAAGTTTGTGATACCAATTTTATTGGATTACTTTGATTGTGCAAGTTTAAACCTTGTGTTTTTGGTTACTTGCAGATTATTGAGCATCAAGATGGAGATTGTTGGATTTTTGATACCCAATAATCCCGGGCAATGATATTAAACAGTGTCGGATTATATTCCATTGGTCGAGGCTAATCAGTGAAATATTTATTAACCAATCAACTTATATGATTGACCCGAAAACAACGTGGGCTATTAGTTGCAGCTTAATTGAGTTTGATATTACCTTGATCCAAATCCACTTATAGGAGGGCTTCCTTGTATCTTGGCCCATTACTTTGTGTCTTGGCCCAATTTGTAATATACCTAAAACTATATATACTTCCTTCCTCTTGCAAGAGCCGTGTGTTTTACCCTATTGTGTGAGAAGAGAGACTTTGGCTACCTCTTGCAATCTTCTTCTTGCATCTTCTTATCTTCTCTTGGCCTTTGTGGCTTGCAAACACCATTATATCATTGTCTCTTTGGGGTGAGAAAAGGGGAATGCAACCATAAGTGGATTGAGGTTGTGGGTTGGAGATTTGGTTGATATATAGATTGATAAGTTTGATTTGAGACTGAAAAATCCACCATTGAAGGGGTGTGTGTGTGTGTGTGTGTGTATATATATTCATTTAATGTAGGACTTGGCATGTGAATGACTTCATACATTGACTATTATAATTCCGTTCATATAAAAAATTTCTTAATCACATGTATTGACATGGAACGTTAATATATCTTTACATCTTTAATTCTTAGGAAAATAACAGAAATAATCTCCAACCTATATGACTCATCACAACTTTGTCCCAAAGCTTTAAACAATGCAACAAATTTAAATGTTGAGAATCAACTCGAACTTTTTCAAATTTAGGGACCCATTAGCAACAATTTATTAAGGTTGGTGATCAACATCGCAATTTTCCTATTTTTTATTACTTCTGCCATAGCCCTTTTGTGACAGCCTACTCATTAAAAAGAAACATAGGAAAAAGTTTAGCCACTTTAACAGTATCCGTCTAAAAAGATGAGGAAAAAGCATCAATATATAGTAGGAATATCTCATATGACATAACTGTTTTATTTAGATGTCATACGCCATGTAATTCTTGTAAATTTTTTTTCACGAACTCAAGAAACTGTAAATATTTTCATTAGTTTAATGATATTTTAATTGATTGATTTCATTGTTTAGTGTTGCTTGTACTGCACGTCCTTGTGATGAATGGTTTGGAATGTAAGATGGCATCCAACTCATCCAAGGTATACTTCTTTCACTTATTCTATAGTAAAAGTAATGAGTTTTCAATAGTATAGCCTTTTTTATGTGGGTTTCTTTGATTTTTTTTACTCATTCTATTACTGAATGATATAGCCCTCAAGGGAAATAATACATTGGCAAGTTGCTTCTTACTATCATCGATTACGCATTTAATTATGTCGGTTTGTAGTTTACGTGTATGTTTTTAAATCATACCTTACTTGATTATTTCTCTTGATTAGGTCATGTACGAAGCTTATAATCCGTCCGGTGAGCCTATTCCAACAAACAAGCTACACAATGCAGTCAAGATTTTTAGCCATCCCAATGTTGTTGTTGGAGAACCGTGGTAACAACTCTTGAGAATTGAATTGTGCTATGATATCTTTCAATCTTCTTTACATTTTTGGACTTTCTGGTTTATTGATTTTTTTTCCTTTTAAGGTATGGTATTAAGTAAAAGTAGATCCTTTTGCAAAAAGATGTTGAGTGGTCCATTGGAGGGCCTTAGGGAGGTTCTCCCGAACCTCAGGTATAACATTATATGGTACAAAATATTAATCTTTTATACTGGCAAAAAATTCTAATTTCAATTCCTTTATTTATGCAACCTAATAATACCAGGATCTATACCCCTGTTTGTTTCTCATTTATGTAAGAATGAGAATGAAAAATATAGTCATTACGAGCCCACACAAAAGATTAAAAATTAAATATGGTTGCTTGATATGATGATTAATGGTCATATTTTTCATTTTAATGATAAAATAATGGGAAGCAAACAGGGGCTAATATTTAAAGAAGCAATTTGTATGCAGCTGTTGCTCAGCTGTGCCTGTCCCATAGCTAACATGCCACATATTGGGGATAAGTTCTACTTTCCCATGGTCATAGGAGTACAGATGTGCCACATATGGTATGAAATTTAATTGCCTTTTTTGTGTAATTGATAAAGCCAAAATTAAATGAGAACATACTCCCTTCAAAAGTGTGCATATGATTACATATATGGCATCAGGAATTAAATAGCTTTATATGAACATTTTTTAATAAGCTATTAAGTGATATTTTGGATTAACATCTAGCCAGTTATATTTGTACGAAGTTATGACATCGAGTTTACTCAAAATGTACATTCATGGTTGGATTTTTATAAAAATATACTTTGTTGTATTTTACTTGAAGCAAATTTTGAGACACTAACAATTACAATTTGGTAACAAGGAGAAGAATTTGTGAAGCTTTAGATATGATATGCACCAATATACCTGAATTACATAGTACAATAAAGGTAGATGCTGAGTTAGATTCTATGAATTCACATGAAGTTACAAAACAAGTAGATGAGGCACTCTTCTTGTGGATTATTAGAAAATATGGTGACAGAATTTTGTTAAATGATTATGACTGAAAACCTAATTGAAATTTTTTTTCTCTGCGAACTGATGATTTTATAGAAGCTCAGAACTTTTACTTTTTTCTGTATTTCACAGGAGTCATTTGCAATACTCGTTGAACCTTTGGGCATTGTTTATTCAGAGAATTCAACTCACTCTCTTTCAAATTACTCTAATGCTTCAAATAGGAAGAATGCCCTATCGCCAGGCAACTTACTGAAGGCACTCTTTGGATATTATTCGTGAATCATTCATTTGCCTGAAAGTTGATGAGTTCTATTTTTTCTAATTGTTTTAGAAATATTTGTTCTTAGGTTTTTCTATCTTCATTTCGGTTCTTTCCCTTTTCTTTTTCTATCTTCATTTTGGGGTGATTCCTGAGACATGAAATTGGACTTCTTGTAGGTCCAGTGTACATACAGCTCTTATTCGCTGGCCTATTGGGGCACATCTCGCGATTTACCTCCCTTACAAAGCTCTAGGGACGGGGCGGGGCGCTGGAGCACTCAAGGTTGGGGTTCAATCTTTTTTTTTTTTTTTAAATACCTCAAGAGGATCAATAAGTGTTGAACTATAAAATGAAGGTTCTCCTAAAGTTATTGCATAATTTATTAGCTAAAGGTACATATTCGGACCACTTTAACCATTATTTGCTTTGCTCATTTAGGTAGACTTTTTGTTGCATAAATATTTTCTTTTTGTCCATTTTACTTATTTATCCTATTTTTTTAATGAATTCCTCGTACTCTTTTAGTTTATTTATGCTGATCAATAAAAAAGTAAAAGCCAGGCATTCTTATAATGAATATACTTTGGAATATCTTTTCAAAATTATCTTGCATTTAATTCAAAGACCAGCAGGTTTTAGTGTGTTATGGCTTACTCTTTTGGTTGTTTATACAATTTTTTTTTTATCTAATATGTTGTACTTTTAGCGTATTATTAGCTACTCAATAAGCTCATTAGGCTTTTATTATGAATCAATCTACCTTTGATGGGACTATTGTCTCTAACTTAAATGAGACTGTTGCATTGTGCTTTTATGTGAATCTATGTGTATGTTGCTCCAACTTAGGCACTGATGTGGTCGGGGTCAAAAATGTGGCTTTTGTTCTTATTACGCGAGTAGATGTTGCTTAGAAAATTTAAAGAGTGTGTTTCTTGGGATTCAAATTGAGAGTTGCATATCTTAAGACAATTGGATAAGTTCTTAAAATTGCTTATGTCATTGATACATGATAATGTCTTTGCTTAGCACAGTTTATGCGTTCTATATTTATGCACTTGAAATGGTAGCTTTCTCAAGCAGGCAAAAAACTAGGGTGAATTTCATTTTTGCCTTTAAAATATTGTTGTTAGTAACCTTGAAATGTGGGATGGGAAATCCCAAGTTGGTAAGATTTTAAGAAATTATGATGATTTTTCTTTTTATTTACCTATCTTAGAGTTTGACAAGCCTAATATGTTAACAAGACATAAATACTACTCGTAGCAGTTCAAATTACAAAGTAACACAAGGTTTGATAATTTTGCACTTGACGTCATCTTTGTTGAAGTTGTCATTAGAGAAACATCATTAAGAACTAACATATAGAGCTTTTCAATCTAACTTCCATTTGTTTGCATTTATTTATTTTTATTGCATATCAACTCTTGTTCTAAAGAATGAGTATCACATGCATTTTTACACCTTCTCCCAAATTTATCGTTCTATTGCCACCTTGTGACTACGTAAATATATTCTATAAACTTGAAAAGAATCTATATTTTGTTTACATGCACATTTTGTATTATTAATTCATTAGGAAGTAAGAAATGACCATAAGGCTCACAATTTCATATTTTTGCTCATTAAATGGAGAAAAAAAGTATGGTGACCCACAAATTTGTGTAGATTCCATTGTCTCTAATTTGAACGAATGAGGCATGTCCCTGTGATATTACTTGCATAATATCAAACTTTTTTTGATACAATTCATCAAATGTGTACATCTTGTTGATTATAGTTTATGAAAACCTATCTGCCTTGTTACGAGTATAAGACTACAGGATGTTGCTGTCCTTTCACTGTGTTTATTAAAAGTAAAAGGATAATTAAGATTTTATGCTTATTATTAAAGCACATTTATGCAGGGAGCATATTAAGCGGTGGTGGAAGTATACTACTTCCACACGCTACCGTTGCAAACTTGGTTAACATGGCGAATGGCTTACAGAGGGGTCTCTATCTACACGTCTAGGGATTCCTAGGATTCATGGGTTTGATGTTGTTCATGGACACAGTAATGCCTATAATTGCACCATATTCCACATAATATTGGGCTTGGGGACTACTAGGCAAGTAATATCACACCCACTACGTAACATTTCTTGGTATAGTGTTCCTTTTATTTGGCACATAATTTATATTCATGTTCAAAAATTTTAATTAGCAAATTCTTATAATATCATGCTAGAGTCTTATCTTCCAATATAAGTTGTATCAATATTCATGGAGGCTCTTTCAAGCAACAATGTGAGCCATGAGCGCAAATTGTTTCAAATATAGATAAATAAAAACCAGTTAAATTATATAATCTTTAATGTCCATATCATATTTGATTATTTTTATTTTTATTTCTTCATTTTGTGAAGTTCATAAATGTCATAATGAGATCACCTTTTGATGTTTAGCTCACGAGAATATCATAATGTTGTTATTAATAAATTGTCTTCTTTTAATGAATAATGGTAATCAAAATGTCATAATGAGATCACCTTTTTTTAACTACTAATGTGATACATTCTTCTTACCACTTTCTTTTCTTTAAACAACATAGCAAAATTTACAAAATTAAGGGTGTGTTTGTCACCCATTATTTGGAAAGAATGTATTATAGAATGGTGATTGATGTTGAAATGTGTGGTTAAAAAAGAATGAATTTTTTTTATTTACATGCAATATTATTTTAATGAAGAATGTGTGGTTGAAAATGAATAACTGTAGAAAAATAATGGGAGAAAATGGATGACAAGTAAGGGCTAAATTCTTAAGTTATAGCACAATCCCTCACCAGGTTTTTTTCCCTTTTCTTTTTTCCTTTTTTCCCTATATATATAAAAGTGCGAAGCAAAGACGGGACACGTGTTGGCCATATATTTCGTCTTATAGTTTTTCCTTCTTCTTTATTGTCTTGGTTGAATCTTATACTAAATCCCATACTGTTTGTGCATTTCTTACACTCCATTGACCATTCCTCTACTCTTCTAATTGATATCTGTAACTTGATTTTTCGCTTTCTCTCCTATTGTTATGAAGATACGAAGAAAATGCGAGGAAAGCAAATTCATCTTACTGAGCGCGTATCATTTCTCTTCTATGGACAAAGAAATCCCGGACAAATCTAGAAGGTTGAAATTTTATCCCCAAAACTTCGTTCTTGTGTATCTTTCTTCAACTTTCTTTGACCTTATTGCTTATCTATTAGATCTTTTTTCTTCTTTATTTTAAGTATGTAAACATTCTAAAAAGCTGAAAATCTATTTAGAAATTGTACAGTGGCAACAAGATCTCCATTGATTAAGGTTTATTTTATTTTGGTGATATCATTTCTTTTGTGTGATCTTTGATCTTTTTTCTTTTTTTTTTAGTTAGAATAGCCTTGTCTATCAGAAGATTATTGAACGATTATTTAAGATTTCTAGCTGCAAACGTTTGGTATTGTTAATAATTCAAGATTTTCAAATGGTTTTTTATTTTATTTTATTTGTGATTTTGGATTCTTGGAATTGATTAAAATTGTGTTTTCGCAGTTGATACTGTAGAAAGTGGGAGGTCTCATCTGCAGTGTTTGGGATTGAATGGAAAAAAGAATTCTCTAATTTGTATGTAAGTATGTTTTGATTTTTTGTTCTTTTTAGTCAATCATCAATTTTCTTAAGTTTCATTTGATTATCGGGCGTCGTATTCATTTTTTTAGAAGATACCTTCCAGATGATAGTGAATTAGCTTCTAAGATAATTTTATAAAACTATTTATTGAAATTAATTTTTGTAAGACTATATTAATTCTGACACTTGCAATTTTGTATTGAAAGGAACAAAACTTGGCAATATTGATTATTAGACGGGAGACAAGGGTAGATGCTGGAGTTTCTACTAGTTTTGAATGGAGGAGATTCGTTTGGGGATGATAGAGGAGATTCGAAGTAACTAGTCCGATACCAGGTTTCTGCTCTTCTCCCCTTTCATTTTAAATTTTAAAATTTCTCTCTCTCTCTCTCTCTCTCTCTCTCTTTTGTATATTTCATTTTTTATTTGTGTTTTAGGAAATAGAAATTTTGTGCATTTTTGTAAGTTATTAGATTAGATGGATAGTCTTAAGAAAGAAAAAGAATTTATAATATTGTTTATGTGCAATGAATTTAGAATTTAGAAAACATACAAAAAAAAAAACAAATAATACAAACATTTTTAAAACAAAAAAAAAAATGGAGCTAAAACTCCGTGCTGGTAAAGAGCTTTATTTCATTTTTCATTTGTGTTTTAGGATGGTTGAATTTTTTTTCTTTATATATATTTCATTTTTCAGGATCGTCGAAATTTTTTTAACAAATGAAAACGAAGAATAAAAACAATTTTTTAACAAAAAGCAAATAATAATAATAATAATAATAATAATAATTTAGGGGGAAAAAAAAAAAGATAACTGGAGCTACACGGAGCATGAGCTCCATGCATGGCTCTGTGCGTCCATGGAGCTAATGAGGAAGAAAATGAGTTTAAAATGTTGTTTTGACTGAATAAAAACATTTCTTTAAACCTATATACATATATCTAAAGCTCCGTGCGTGCATGGATGGAGGTTTTTGAGGAAACCTTGGAGGTTTTCAGGTTTTTTTTTCATGTTAGAAATAATTTTTTTCAATTTAAATATAAAACTTTATTTTTTCAATTTTAAGGTTCTTATGCTAGGATCAAAACTCAAATAATTTTTGGAGAAACCTCCATCCGGTTTCCTCAAAAACCTCCATCCATGATTGGAAAGTTTTTAGGAAACCTCCAATCATGGATGGAGGTTTTCTCCAAAATCTCCATCCAGGATGTTTTCAAGTTTCCTTTTATTTTTTTGTTTTTTTAATTTATTTTATTCATGTTATAAATAATTTTTTTTTATAATTTAAAGATAAAACTTAATTTTTTCAATTTTAAGGTTCTTATACTAAGATCAAAACCTCAAACAATTTTTGGGAAAACCTCCAAAATCTCCGTCCAGGAGGTTAAACCTTGGAGGTTTTCAGGTTTTTTTTTCATGTTAGAAATAATTTTTTTCAATTTAAATATAAAACTTTATTTTTTCAATTTTAAGGTTCTTATGCTAGGATCAAAACTCAAATAATTTTTGGAGAAACCTCCATCCGGTTTCCTCAAAAACCTCCATCCATGATTGGAAAGTTTTTAGGAAACCTCCAATCATGGATGGAGGTTTTCTCCAAAATCTCCATCCAGGATGTTTTCAAGTTTCCTTTTATTTTTTTGTTTTTTTAATTTATTTTATTCATGTTATAAATAATTTTTTTTTATAATTTAAAGATAAAACTTAATTTTTTCAATTTTAAGGTTCTTATACTAAGATCAAAACCTCAAACAATTTTTGGGAAAACCTCCAAAATCTCCATCCAGGAGGTTTTCAGGTTTTTTTTTTTTTTTTTTTTCTTGTTTTTTAATTTGTTTTGTTCATGTTATAAATTATTATTTTTTTGATTTAAAGATAAAACTTAATTTTTTTCAATTTTAAGGTTCTTATGCTAAGATCAAAATCTCAAACAATTTATGGAGGAAACTTCCGTTCATGATTGGAGGTTTTTGAGGAAACCTCCATCCATGGATGTAGGTTTTCTCAAAAATAATTTTTTTTTTTTCGATTTAAAGATAAAACTTAATTTTTTCAATTTTAAGGTTCTTATGCTAGGATAAAAAACTCAAGCAATTTTTGGAGAAACCTCCATTTTCCTAAAAAGCTTCCAATCCTTGATTGGAGGTTCCAAAATCTCCATACAGGAGGAGGTTTCCAGGCTTTTTTTTTTTTTTTATAAATAATTTTTTTTGATTTAAAGATAAAACTTAATTTTTTTAATTTTAATTAACTAATATTTATATATTCTTTATTTAATTGTTGTAACTTTAATTTGTTGAGTTAAATGTTTGACTGGCCATTAAACTTTGATATATGTCACGGTTTACTCACTGTCCTTTGAAACTTGTCACAATGGCCATTCAACATTGTTCCGTCCAGCTCCATTGGCCATCGGATGGAAAACGTCAGTGAACTTGCACATGTGGCCGATGGCAATTTGAGATGTCACATTAAATTGAAAATTATTGCCACTTAAACACCAAATAAGCAGTGCCAAACATGTATTTATCTTAACAAACACATTTAAAGTCTTCAAAATTACCATTTATTCCCAATCCCTAAAACATGTCTTCTTCAATTCGATTGAAGCCCTAACCCCTAAACGATACTACCCCACACGAAGGCCCCATGAGCACGAATTAGTGCGGAGTGTTGCAACGAGGAAGGCTTGCAAATGGAGGGACCATTAGAAGGTAATTGAAAATCAATATTTTCCATTATTTCCATGAATGTGGACAACGAGAACCCGACAAATGAGCAAATTTAATATGATGTTCAAATTTACATTTAAGCATCGGAATCATGAATTTTTGTATCTTCCTCTGTATTTTGATGAATATGCTCCATGATTTCAACTCCATGATTCTGAAAGGACTTTTCACTAGTGGGATCACTTGGAGGCCCCTTATCGTTTTCCATAAAACAGGAATGTACTGTGACTGAAAACATAAATATGTATAATCTGAAAAAACTTTTTCATATCATGCATATGTATAAACTAAAATATTTATAATTAATTTGCCTCCATTCCTGTGTTCACAGTATGTATTTCCATACGTGAATTATAATTTCCTAATTGCATGTGGTGTATATGTATGTGACAGTATCGGAGGATGATTCAGACTTCGTTGATTCTGAGAACAATGTGGAGGATGAAGATGACACACTGTATGAGCAAAACGTGACTGATGGCATCGAGATCGGGTTGGATGGCCACTATCAAATTCAAGATGAATGGGGAGAGAGCAATGATATGGAAGTAGACGCCTTGGAATATCCGACAGAAGAGTTATTGTCACAGTGCTCATCAGATGAAGAGAGTGGGTTTCGATTTCCTCAATTTTCTGCTAAGACCGATATGAAAAATCCACAATTTGTGGTAGGCCAGATTTTTAGCTCAGTAGTTGAGTTCAAGAAGGCGGTTAGAACTTATAGTGCATTGAATGGATATAATGTGAAGTTTACGACAAACGAGGAGAGACGAGTACAAGGAGTGTGCAAAGTTGGGTGTGAATGGAGAATATGGGCTTCTTCGTTTGACGACACTGACACATTACAGGTGAAATCATACATATCAGACCATACTTGTAGTCGGGACCAGTATAATATACACTGCAACTACAAGTTCCTGACACATCGTTACTTTGAGTAGTTCAAAGTGGACCCCGACTGGAAAACGAAGCTAATTTTAGCAACAGTTAAAAAGGACCTACACATAGATATAAGTAGAAATGTTTCGTGGAAGATGAAAAGATATGCTAGAGAAGTATTAGTCGGGACCATGCACGACCAGTTCGAACAATTGAGGTCTTATGCTGTTGACGTACTTCGAATAAATGCTGGTTCTACTGTCATCATAGCTTTGCAGCAACAAGTGTTTCAGGGGATGTATGTATGCTTCAATGGTTGTAAGATGGGCTTTAGAAATGGTTGTAGGAGGGTGGTTGGCATTGATGGTTGCCACTTACGAGGTTGCATTGGAGGAATTTTGCTGTCGGTAGTTAGCATAGACGGTAACGATTGTATCTGCCCTATTGCTTACGCGGTTGTTCAAAAGGAAAACACACCGACTTGGCGATGGTTTATGATTTATCTTAGGGAGGATATTGAAATTGGAAATGGCAGAGGGTGGACATTGATGACAAATAGGCAGAAAGGTCTGCAAAATGTGACAAATGAGTTGTTTCCTGAGGCCGAGCATCGATTTTGTGTACGACACATGTACACAAATTTTTTCAATGTGGGTTTCAAGGGAAAGACTCTAGAAAATTATCTTTGGCATGCTGCAAAGTCAACCATTATCCCTGACTATAAACATTGGATGCAACAAATTTGTAATATCAGTGAGGACGCATATAAATGGCTAATGGAGAGGCCTCCTCAAGAATGGAGTAGATCATACTTCTCTCTCCATTCAAAGAGTGATATATTATTGAATAACATATGTGAAGTGTTTAACAAGACCTTGAGGAGTGAAAACGAGAAAATGATTTTGAAGATGCTCACTTCAATGCAATTGGTCTTCATGATAAGAATTAGAAAGCATGGAGATACGATGATGAGGTGCAATGGTAGGTTGTGTCCAAAAATTAGAAAGAAGCTTAACAAGAATGCTGACCGCTCACGTGAGTGCACCTTACACTTATCTGACGGGCTGAAATGGCAAGTTGATTGTAGCTCCGGCACATATGTTGTCAATCTACTAGAGCGGAGTTGTGTACGTAGGGAGTGGGAGCTTATTGGCATACCATGCATGCATGCAATTGCAGTGATAAGAGAATGTAGGAATGATCCAGAAGAATGTGTTGACAGTTGCTAATTAGTTGAAACATACATGTGTTGCTATGATAACATCCTCAACCCAATTAACGGGATGAAATTATGGCTGGAGTTGGACATGGCTACTATCATCCCCCCATCATGGGTTGTTTCGCGAAAAGGAAAGAGGCAAAAAAATAGAAGGAAGGCGCATACGAAGATGTGGTAGTGCATTCATAGGAGAAAACATACATGAGAAAAAAGGGACTATTGAAGTGACTTGTTCAGAATGCGGATTGCGTGGCCACAATAAGCGATACCATTCTAGGCCAGATGCTCCATCAGATGTGAGTACCACTAGTCCACTTACAATTTCGAATGGAATATATCAGCATCTGACTATATTTTCATTTCCACAGGATTGGTTCAAAGGCAACTTGGAACCTGTTGAAACACAGTGCAACACACACGTGCATGGCAGAGTACATGAAATAGTTTTTCATGATATAATGTAGTATTTGTTTTAAAATTGTTGCATTTAATGCAGTTAACCATTTGAAATGTAATGGTAGGGTAAAATGGTTGCCATTGGTGGAAAGAGTTCATCTTCAATAGGTAAGACCACAAGGCAAAGCTCTTTTTGTTTTATACCGACACCAGTGGTTACACGTGAAGCGGGAAGGGATCGTATTGCACCCGGCCGACAGTGACGACGCCTATTAATGATGAACATGAAGACGGTCAGCCTGTAGAGGATACTGTGGCAACTGTGGAAGTAGACTTTGAAGAAATGGCTTACAAGAACTGCGGGAGGGCATAGAAACATGATGACAGGAAGTGAAAGTGATAGAAATTTGTAAATTTGTTTTGAATTGGACATATGACATGAACCAAATGTCTATTTTGCTAAATCTGTAAACTTGTATGTTGCTATGACGAGGTGGTAGTGCAACATAAGAACAATGTGGAGAAGAGTATAACAACCCAATGATGTAATATTCTATTTTGCTATATATATATATATATATGTGGATTCTTCATGTTCTTGTGCCAGTTATGGTAGTAATTATTCTACATTGTGCCAGTTTCTTATGCAATAATTACAAGGATTGTGCCTTGAAAACATGAAAATATATGAATTTGTTCGTGCCTATAATTAGTTGAAATAGCTTAATAAATCAGTTCATGCCTAGAGAAGTTGCTACCAGGAAGGTTCTTGATGTAGGTACAATGAGCTTACTGCACGGCCAGTTGCCAGCATGTAATCTTTTTCTGATCTATGGTTATTGTAGTTATCGTTGAATAAGGATTCTTGTTTAAGTAGCAGGGAAGTTATTCTTGAACTGTTTTTGGGTTAAAAGTGAGGGAAACAAAAATGAAAATAATAAAAACAAGAATTAGCAAAATGTCTCCAGCATGCAAAGTCACAGGAATTAGCATAGAATTACCATCACATGAATTAGCCAAAATGCTCCAGCATGCAAAATCATAGGAATTAGCGTAGAATTACCATCACAGGAATTAGTCAAAATGTCTCCAATATAGTCATTTCCTAATAAGCTACACACGACATACACCAGACATAACTTAAACCTAAGCTACTACCTACTACACAAACATAAAAATGACAAACACACACACCTTATGTTGATCTCTTTCCCTTGCACATTGTTATGTTAAAGGATATCTCCACATCCTTCTCTTCGGTTATGGTTGCAAATGTCTTGAACATGGACGATAAATCTTCTCCTTCAGATTGCATCAGTTTTGTCCTCGATGACGAAGCATCATTCCATTAAAAAACCCGCATTCTCTTGTGCAACATAAGAACAATTGTCCTATATTTTTAGTATTCTTCTCGACCTCCATACATTTCACGAATCCCAACCCACATTCTGGACATCGTTGCTTTGATGGGCAATTCGACAAGTAGTGTCTAGGTTTCCTACAACTATAACAAATGCCCTTGTTCTTCCCAGTCATTGTAATCTCTTCTTCCGGATCAATATGATTTAGTAAACAAAAACCCACATTAGCACAATTTAACTTGAAAATCAGGTTATATATGAATTCAAATTCAATAAAAAGTTTTCCATGCCATGTACATAAATTGAAAATAAAAACATGCAGCTAAGTCGACTAGCGCATTCCTCCAGTAATCTCTGTAGATCCAAATTAAATTTCTTTTTTTGAACGGTGATTTATACATGAGGGTTTATGTTCAGAAGTAGCTACAAATTTTTCCCGGCATTGTATCAACTAGGAGGATTGGGGAAATCGATTACGCTCAACTCTTGTCGAGAACTTACCCAAACAGTTCACGTAATAGCGTCTTCTTTGATGGCCTCTGGCGACAGTAGATGCGGGTTGAATTTTTGGCCTCCACAATTTGCTACGTTCACCTAGGGTTTGCCTCCTTCAAAATTGGGGATTTTCATTCAAACTGCAATTTTGAAGAAGAATACGGGAGGAGAGAAGGGTTTGAAGACTTTAATGTGTTTGTTATGTGGCAATCAAATTAACTTGACATGTCAAATTGCTGTCGGCCATGTGTGCAAGTTCAATGACGTTTTCCATCCGGTAGCCAATGGAGCTGGACGAAGCAAAGTTGAATGGCCAGTGGGAAAAGTTTCAAATGGCAGTGAGTAAACCGTGACATGTATCAAAGTTCAATGGCTAGTCAAAACATTTAACTCTTAATTTGTTTTGTGCATATGGAGGTTTTTTAGGAACCTCCAATCATGGATGGAGGGTTCCAATTTTTTTTTCATGTTATAAATTTTTTTTTTCGATTTAAATGTAAAACATAATTTTATTCAATTTTAAGGTTCTTATGCTAGGATAAAAAACTCAAACAATTTTCGAGGAAATCTCCATCCATAATTGGAGGTTTTACCATCCAGGAGGTTTAAAATCTACTTCCATCCTATTTTTTCATTTTCTTCTTCAAATCAGATTCTTTTAACACACAATTTTTTTTAATTTATTCATTTTTTTTTTACGATTTCATTTGGTTAAATAAAAACTATCTTTTGGTTGGATTTAATTGCTTAATTTGATGGGATGCCTATATGAATTAATGATTTTTCTTTGGTTTCATGTGCTGCAAATTTGCCCTTTTTAATTCTCTTAACATATTTTTCTCGTGGATATAGAGTAACGATGGGTGGGTTGTATCATATTATCAACCAGTTAGACAAATTAACTCTTTATTAAAGATTTATAGAATTTAAGGGAGAATATAATTTAACATGGACAAAGGGAAAGGCGAGATAGGTTGATGATGAATGTTCATATTTTGTGAATATAGTTTTAACGTTGATTTTTATAGTCAAAACTCATATTTTGTGAATATAATTTTGATTGTCTATATTACATTTAATTTTATTAGCTTTTGTGTAGGGAATTATAGCAGTTTAAATGATTATTATATTTATTTATCAATTCAAGATTTTAGTCTTGCGAAACAAATAATTATTTTTTGGCATTCTTAACAACTGAGATTGACTCTTTGTTCCTATTCTATCACAAGAATATCTATTTCAATCTTTACATTATTGACTGTGATATAAAGCATAATTTGTTGTTATATAAGTCTTACTTTTAAATTATTTTTTGTCAATATGATTTTCAAAATTAATTAATTATTTTAGAGGAAAAAGCAAAGTGAATAAAATGTCCTTTTGCACCATACTCTAATTCTTTGTCAGAGGTGAAAAAATTGAAAACTGAACTATTGGCCTCTCATATAGTTTCTGGGAAATTGGCAAATGATCCAAATGACAAAGGTCAACTTTTTCTTCCTTTTCTTCTCATATTATAGGGGTTGAAATATAAATACATGTGTTTATTTAAATTATTCCACTTCATCACCGCACCAGCACATTTGTTCTATGTATTCATTGAGCAACCACTACACACTTATACTTCACGTTCACCCCCAACTAGGGATGATAATCGGACTCGTCGCCTCAGGTCGCCCATGGCTTAGCTTGGAAAAAGCTCGAGCCCCATTTTTAGATACCGGGCAAAGCTCGAGTCGGCCCGTGTGGCTCGTCGACTCGAGAGAACCGAGCATATATTTAAAAAAAAAAAAAAGTAAAGGCAGTGTGCTGCTGCCTTTTTAATTAAAAAAATTCAAAACTAAACAAAACCCAAGTCAGCTAGGCCTGGCTCGGCTCGGCTCGAAAAGGTCCGAGTCGAAAGTTCGGGTCGAGTCTAATTTTTTTGGCCGAGCAACTCGAGCCTGGAAAAAAGCTCGGATATTTTACCTGAGCCAAGCCTGAGCCTATAATTTCGACTCGCGAGCTGGCTCGATTCGACTCGCTGACATCCTTACCCCCAACTAAACCAACTAACATGCACCCAACTAATGTACAACGCATGTTGCTACACTAATCGACCTCTACCTTAAAAGATAGAAAGAGCATGTTAGTGTTCATTCTAGTGATGGAGTGTTCACATTGAACTTGTTCCTAACTGGTTCTACACTTTTCATCCAAAATATCTTCCTTACTGTTCATTCTATTGCCTATTATAAGCGAAGGAAAACTCCAACAATAATTTCATTCGTTCTTGTTAAAAAAGAAAAAGAAAAAAAGGAAACCCTATAAGTGGCCGACTCCTTCTTTGTCGTCCGATTTGGTTACTTGGTTCTGCCGAACATTGAACCTGGGGTAGAAGCAACCGGCTGGTTTCAAACTTGCTAAAGCAATCATAAGCACCGAAACTAGCCGAGTTTGCGAGATTTGTTCGAAGAACTTCATATTCGAACCATCCAATATTTGCCGCGAAGTTGTGTGAAGCTTTTACTTTGAAAGAAATGTTTCCACAAGCTGTTTGTGGAGGTACTGTGAGATGTTTTTGGAGGCAGGGGCGGAGCCACCATACTGGATTTTTGGGCCAAAAAAAAAAAAAATTTTATTTTTATTTTATTTTATGGTTTCCTTGTTTGTTTAACCAAGTAACTCAATTCTCGATCTAGCATAGAGAGAGAAGCCCAATTGTGCAAGGTCATGACCCGTTTTAGACCCATTCGTATCAAAATTCAATTGAATCAAT